AGAAGGAGAAGGAGAAGGAGAAGGAGAAGGCCATTTCTGCCACCTCCATTTGGTTCCCACTGCCATCTCCTCCCATCCCAAGCCCTCTCCAAGCCCTGTGCTGTGCATCTCCTCTGCCCCAGGAAACTCTCCCGTTACCCTCATTCACGCAGAGCCACGCTGCAGCCCCTGCTGTGCTCTGTGGCTTTGTCTCTGCTTTATTAATACAATAATTTTAATTTATTCAATTAAAAGAAAGATAAGGACAGTTCTCTGTCCTGGAGACACCTGGTACTTCTTGGCCACATCCAAGCTATCCTTTTTTTCCTTCCTAACTGTGATGGCTTTAATCCCCAGCCAAGTGGACATTATTCTCTCTGGACCAGCACCAACCTAAAATATCCAGGAATTATTTACTTTGTGCAGCTGTCTCTCACAGTCACATTCTCTCCAGAGAAATGAATGGGATGGCAGATATTTTACGGTGAGACTCGCACTGTAATGACACTGCAGTGCCTGGCAGGTGAGTTCACTCAGATACTTGTTGGCAATTACTGAAGCGCTTTGTTCATTCAGTTTGCATCTTAATCTAAGTGGTTTGCTGAAAATTTCATCACTAGAAGAGCTTTCAGGCAACTTGTCACTAAGAGTCCACCTACGCTGTTTGTAAATTGTGTGTAAAAGCTGGAGTGTGAGTCTTATTTGTTATAGATTCAAGATGGAAAAACTGCACATCAGGGAAATAAATCCTAATTGCTATTTTAGGATAAGAGCTTCACCACAGATGTGCAGTTAAAAAAAAAGTTTTCACAACCAAATGTTACCTTTAAAATAGCTGTATTGGTAACCTGCAGAGTTTGCCATGAAAACAGTTCACATCCTTGTTTTATAGACAGGACATGAAAGAAATAATCAGAAAGCTCAGTAACGCTGCTGATAGCTCGACCTCGTTCTGTCCACACAGGGCAGGGGAGACTGTGGGGTTATTCCAGCTACTGACGTGCTGCCTGATCCATCGGGTGGGTGGATGAAGTCCTGTGCCACCCAGGGGGTCAGGCTGATCCCTCTCTTCTCTTTGGTCAGAGCTCAGGGCTGTGAGACAGGCAGGGTCTGCACCCTGGGCCACCCACGCCAGGCTGGGCTGGGCTGGGCTGGGTGGTGCTGGGGCTACACCACTGCATCAGCCTTTGATGTTCCAGCCCAACACCTTTTAAATCCCAATATTTTAAAAAAATTTGATCCTTGAGAATAGAAAGGCACCTAAAGCAAAGGCTCGGGCACATCTTCTGGGCCATTCTCCTTGGATCACAGCACTCCTGGAAACTTTACAGATACAGAATAAGGTGAATAATCACTTTTTTTTTTCTCTACAGATATTCTGATATTCCCATGTGTGTTTTCAGACAGAAAGGATGGAAATCCACTCTGTGTGTGTGTGTGTGTGTGTGTGTGTGTGTGTGTGTAAAACAAATAAGTGTGTCTCACTGTACGTGTCTGTGGTACCTGGGAGTGGTGGACCGTGGGACAGTTTCACAGAGTACATTTCTGACAGGACAGCAGGGCACACACAG